ATTGAAACTCTCAATTAGAGAGCAAACATGTTTATAGGAACGGTATTGCATTCATTAATTCCCACTCATCCACACTTATGATAAGATTGAAATGTATTTATAAATATAAAGTACTTATAAATATTTTTAACATTTGATATGAAAAAATGAATGTACATAGGTAAAGCACAGGTATCATAGGAATAAAGTCGAGAATAGCCTCGTTTTGCATTTGAAGTTCAGATACGGATAGAGTAAGAAAGTGGTGAGACTTGTCATACAAAAGTTATATTTATTTTAAGGCTATTTCACGGCCTTTAGAAAAATTATTAATAGTTTTCTCAATTAAAACATTCTCTAAAAAATGATTATCATACAAAGTGAATAAAAAACACTGAAATTTAAATATTTGTTTAAAAAAGTCATATTGGTATTCACTATGAATAGTTTTATCTGATGTCGAAAGCATAGGTCAAAGTTCAGCAAACATTGAGGCGATTGTCAGGATTTATTGACTGCATATTGAATTGACTTTTCGATAAGATTTGAGCCCTAATTCAGTGATTAAACAGTGTTTTTGTGGTGAATATCTTGGTGTATTGTATTTGATATGATTATTATTATTATGGGCACAAATAGATGGCAAATACAATACTTGAACACAATTGTCGTCTATTTATATAAGGGATTGAAATACAATGACAAAAATACGACAGAAAATCTCGTTTTGTGGAGAGAGTCGGTGTACTGTATGGGGAATGGGAGGAAAGGGAGGTATGGGATGGATGTGTGGTGCGTGTGATGTAGGTATGTGTCAGTGATGGTGATGCCATCCCAATGTCATCCCACTCTGTTTTGTGGAGAGAGTCGGTGTACTGTATGGGGAATGGGAGGAAAGGGAGGTATGGGATGGATGTGTGGTGCGTGTGATGTAGGTATGTGTCAGTGATGGTGATGCCATCCCAATGTCATCCCACTCACACTCTCTATGTAATGGCCGTACAATACATCACTTGTTGTCTCTTATTATCGGTTATCAAACCATTTGTTTGACTATTCATTGCATTAATCGCTTCATGATATGAGTTATGCGAACAATCCATTCATTAGTTGCAAACCACTCGTCGAGACATCCATTCATTTAGTGATGAATTTATTAGTCATTTGTTTCAATCAACTGTTGTTTTGATTGACACCACCACTCATATCACACACTAAGATCACCCGTAACTGATACCACTCTCGTACGACTGGTCACTATCACCGCAGTGTTCACCACAGAGCACATCATCACCAGAAGAGATCACATCATCACCAGAAGAGATGGTCAAAGAGAAGCCCAATTCGACGCGAACTTACGACGAGGAAGGCTTCCGCAGAAGAGCCGCCTGTCTTTGTGTCAGAGATGACCACCAGAAGGAGGTCTCCCATTCATACCTCTCTCGCCACTCATTTGCCATTTAATGTCCATTTAATGATAACTCTTATATAATACAGATATTACTGGTGACCAGCAGTAGAGCGGGTGATCGTTGGATAGTTCCCGGTTTGTCACCACATATACCACCTCTTCATTCATTGCTATATCCATTGCTGTCGTTGTCTTATAGGCGGAGGTCTTGAACCAAATGAAGACCCGTCCTCTGCCGCCATCAGAGAGACCATTGAAGAGGCGGGCGTTAAAGGAGTGATCAGACGATGTTTAGGCACTTTTGAGGTGACTTTTAACACCATTTCTCGAGGTCTCACTTCTTGACAATTATCTCAATATATGTGTTCATGAAATGTGTGCAGAATTCTGAGCGAAAACACCGGACATCAGTGTTTGTAATGCATGTGACAGAAGAGCTCGAAGAGTGGGAAGACTCGCAAAGTATGCCATGACTTGTAAAGCCATTTACAATGATATTAATAGTGATTGAATTGACTGTTGAGGTCGTAAGAGGAATTGGTTCTCAATTGAAGAGGCGCTCAAACTGTTGGCGATTCACAAACCCGTTCAGACAACTTATGTCAAACTGCTCGTCAAGAACGACAGCCTCCTGTCCTCTTCGTAGCACTTCTTGTGGCACAAGAATTGAAGTTTTGATCACTTTTTTCTCTCAGATTTTAACTCTAAATGTTTTTTATTATTATAAGAGATCTGCTATTCAGAGATATCATAGCATTTGTTGCTGTTGTCGATGAATACTATTTAATTGTATTAATCTGTATATATTATACACCGTTTATATCTTCTGATTCATACAAATTCGTAGAAATTGCTTTCCATCGTAAGCCACACGAAGACAATAAGTGGTGATATTTTGAGTATTTTTATCGTTTAATGATAATAATTATGAAATCAATTGTGGTTCAAAGCTATCTGTATTAAGCCGTGAAATATTCACATGAGATCTAAATTGTTTGAATGCCAGCATAAGATAACTGAGTGTTAATGCGATATTGTTATCAAATAATTGATTATAAATTATATAAATGTCTCAAAGTTTTACAATTCATACGATCTGGTCATTTATGTCATGTCTCTCTACTCCATACCAATCATAGATTATATTGAAAATTGTTATGAAATCATATGTTTTAACCTTTTAATAATCGGTACTTAAAAAATTTATTTTACACTCTATTTTATTTTTATCTCTATTATTATGATCTATTTAATCATTTGATTTTGGATAGAATTTTTGTTTAATCATTATTTGGTTTTCATCAAGGTTTTTAACACGCAAAATACATTTTAATTGTTTGTAAAAAACAGTCTCTCATTCATAATAATTGCAACGAAATGTGAACACAAAATGACAACACATTTCGCTTGTAATTGTGATTTCGGACGGAGAGCTTATTATGTTTATAACAAAATGTTTTATTTGGAAATTAGTTTAAAAAGTATATGATAGATGAGATTCAAGTAATAAATATAATATATAATTTTTATGGACAAACAATTGTTGAGATAATAAGGAATTATTGTTTTTAACATTAATAAATAATAATTATTATGACATTAACTATCAATGAATGTGTTATTTATAACGAAATGTTTGTTCAGTTTTACGGCTCAATCTTTTTGTGAGATTTCTTTTTATTGACTATAAAGTATATTTTAATTTTAATCAAAACTTTTATTTTATGGATAATCACATAAAATGCTGTATTCAATGTTTTTGTTTCACTTGTATTTTTAATTTATAGCGTCATTGAAAACTTGATCCAATGAATTAATTTTTCAATTAGTTTAACAAAATGATCGGATTTCTGGTTTCGAATAATGAATTTTATTATAATTACTATAAATTTTTGTAATAATGCTCTCAATTATGATAACAAATCTGTTGAAAGTTTTAAAAATTTTAAATAAAAAACCATTACAAAGTTGATTAATTTTTATTACATAACATTTATCTTAATTAAAATAATCTTCTATATAATAGTCTTAAAGTATATTAGTTTTATAGTTGGGAACAATTTTATTTTGTAACAAAAAAACTAAGTTGAATAAACCATTTTACGTGTAATAATGCTTATCTATAATCTATTAATGATATATCATGGGTTTGCATAATTGTGTTCAATTAGAATACTTTTAATTAAAATTCATTAACATTATCACTTTTTATAAATAACACATCCTTTTAAACTACAATATAAAGGATTTAATTTAATTCACTTTCCATCAACTTTAACAATAGCTTCCTTTTATGAATACTTAATTAAATGCAAAATAAAGAGTCTTTTGTTAGAAAAAAATATTTTTAGATAATTGTAAAGTTTTGATTGAATTCCTTTGGATCTGTGTGTGACTCATGAAGAGAGCGAATGGAGTGTTGAGTCAGCACAGGGAGCAAAAAGTGTGGTCTCCCCTAAAGCTACTCCACTGCAAGGCTTTTCTAATCGCAATCGCTGTTCATATCCTCTGATGACTGCAGAGAATAACTGCCAGAAAATGTCAGAAAAGATTCAATCGATTGCTATGGCTATGAATGCATAGCATAAACACTCGCTTCACAGGCCCTATGAATCAGTCAGTTCTGTGTCTATCCATACCATAAATGCATACAAATAATGATTGTTTTGGGCAAATAAATTGCTATTTATATATAATCAACACTGTATGATATACAATTTGTCAATTATGTTTTAAAATCTAATGAAACAATTGAAATAATATAATTAAAATGACTTGATGCTAATTATGTGATTATTTGTTTTGACCTAATAATTAATTTAATACTATAATGAAAAGCCTTTGCTGTCATTTACTAACCATTTGGATTATATCACTCCTAACAGGTTTGCCCATAATATCCATCTTATAGACTACTATTATTGTCTTAAATGTCTAAATACTAATTTAATGGTCAATTAATTAATTATATTATAGCAAAGAAATGTGAGACTCATTTGAATATAGACTTGGAATCAGAGCCCGAATCCAATCTATTCCTGGAAGACATCGACAAATCTGAATCCGAACCCATCGACTCTCAAACAGATATCAAGTAAATTTAACTTATTTATTGCATTCATTAGTCATTTAAATCCTTACAAATTTTTAATATCTTGAGACTCATAACAATCTTATGATAATATATTAGACACAGTTTTTCTAATGCAAATTTATTAATATAAATATGTTTCTAAAGGTTTTTATAGAAATCAAGTTAATAATGCTATTTATATTTAATGAATATAGAGTTTTATTATATCATTAATTTTTATTAATTCAATGGATGTGCCCATTAATACAGAATAGTATAGGAATCCATTTATTTAGTATCTTATATTGATATAAATGAATTCTTTCTATTTAACTAGTTTGGGTGACGCGCGCAGTATTCCTATACTCTCACTTATGTCGGGGGTAATAGCTGACCCGAGTCTGGTCACCCTAGGTCTTGTAGTTCCCGAGATATGACCATTTCAAAATAGAGTCGAA